AGGGTGGAAACGTGTTACTGGAGGTAGGACAATTCAAGCAGCAGCTCCATCTCAACAGTTGGGAGTTGAGTGTCTGTCAGCGTGAACACACACACGGCCGCATGACTAACGGTGGCCGTTCATTCGCTCATGTCACCAACAGATATATAAATCACACTGGCACCTGATTATTACACGAGCCGCAGACTATATGCTCCATTTACCGCAAAACCACAAGCGCATATTTCACCTGCAATACACACAGGCGAGGCCTGAGTCATGATGCCATGGACCAACCGCCATGATGGCTGGTGGCGGGTTATTACACATACACACACACACATTTTATTATTGAGTGGTTTTTCAAGCGGTTATAAAGCTTTACATTAGGGTACACTGATTAAAACGCATGGAGTGATCCAAATGAGCCTTTAGCGTGAAAACTTGTTTTTTAAATATATGTAACAATCCAACAATTTACCAGAGTAATATCTATAAATCAAACTTGAGTAGGCTAATTATGTCCATAAACCTACCTTTATTTTGAAAAACTAAAGTGATACTTCAAGAGACATCTGTTGTTCGGCGGGTCCAAATAACCTAAAAAACAGCAAGTTAAATCGGAACAAATAATCCAGAATTGTTAATATGAAGTCAATACATTTGGGAAGCTTCTACGCTATCAATAACATAAAGTATTTAAAGAGTGTAATCAATGTTGTGTCGCAGAGAACTCATGGAGAACTGTAAAGATGTTAATACTTTCTTCATTGTACCAAATCTGGCAAATGTTTCGACACGTTATTTTATTCTACGAGCCTCTTCTAAAGACATTGGCCTTCATGAAGACATTTTTAAAGTCCTAATCATCAGTCATTGTTTAGCATAATAAAATACTGCATTTTATTTTGTAAATTGACCGATTATTTTACTCGTAATATTTTGGCTGAAGGAAGAATATCTCTTCGGACAGATTTCGAAGAATAAACCCTGCTACTGTTCATATTAAGCTGCCATTATGTTTGCAAATTAATGTGTTGAAATATGTTGTTGATCGGATGTAATATTGGTGGATAACAGAGGGGTTTTGGAGTAAATTATTCTTACAAATAATATCCATAGGCCTAGGCCTCATTCTTTAAGTGGATTGTCGAAGAATCAACATTTCTTGGAAGTTGTGGGATGCAGTTAAGTTTTTGAGTGGAGTAGTTTTCTGCACTAGAAGTGACATTTTATTTCGGATATAATATTAGCTGTGGATGCATCTGTGCATTTGAACCATGCCTGTGCCACAGTTACACGGTAAGCCATGTGTCAAGTAAAACGATGCGTTTGTCCAGAAGTAACGAAGTGAAGACGGTTCACTGCATATCTTGATAGGCTATCAAATATAGTCCATGCAGGGCAATTAAAATAACAATGACCAATAGATTTTGGCCCGCAAAACAAGATCATTGGGGAAATAATGTACAGTAAACGTATTGTAAATTTGGCTGATTGTAAATTAATAAAACAAATAAATTGTGAAGTTGGACTGGACTGTCACTGAGGCCCAGAAGAGTCACAGTCGCCTGAGAGGCAATGCTCCCCGGCTGCAGCGGTGAGGAGAGACCAGGGCGACAAATAACTTTTTCTCCCTGCTGCTTTCATACACATGTGAGCTAAGGAAACCGTGTGTGGGCGTGTGCGTGTGTGTGTGTGTGTGTGTTTCCAAGAAGAAAACACCACAAGTCAGTGAGTCCCCCCCCCCCCCCACACTCAGAACTCAGAGAGCGCAGGCGCAGAACGCATCTCTGTGCAGGAGAAACTGAAAGGCACTAAGGCAGTGGACACTTCCCAGCAGACAGCCGCCTATGCAGCCTCCATACTCCCGCTTCAGAACAGACGTTTTAAAAGCCACGTGTAGCCGCGGAGGGAAGGGGACTCCCCGCTGAGAGCAGGCTGAAGCCGCGGTGCACAGGGATGGATTTAAGCAGATGATAGCTGACCGCATGAGGTACAGTATAGAGACTCGGCTCCTGATAATCTGCACTGTAAAGTCATTATCTGATCATTATCCGCTTGATTGTAAACAGCGCTGTCGGTTCTATAGACGGGGGGTGTATTACGGTATTAGGGGCTTTGAAATAGTGTCATCCCCTGTGAGGGAAATCAGCTGCGATAATTAGACCCACTGAGCTCCCACGGTACGACAATCTGATGATGAAGATTTTAATCTGACAGTTATGGGCAGCCACGGAGGAGGATGAGAGAAGGAGGTGGTGAGATGGGCTGGAATCAAACAACTAAGGACTTGGCCTTTTGTATTTTTTCTGTGCATTTCTTATTGCTCATTTTTAGTTTTAAATACGAGTTTTTAATCAAGTTAATTAATGCAAAAATAATTGGTGTTATTTACAAAAAAATACGGTCTTTATATTAAGCTAAACAATTGTATTATTATATAGGCTACATTGTATTGCTAAACTATTTGAGTATTATCAGATGGCAATTTGAATTATAGGCTAGGATGATTTAAAATGTATTTCTTTTATTGATATTATTTTCAAAAGAATATGGGTTCTCGTGTTTCGTGTTGTAATTGGGGCCTATTTATACATAATCCTGGACATTTGGTGTTATTATTATTATTATTATGTTCTCTATGGAGCAGGATTGGGAAGTCAGCGTGGGAGTTTCTGTGACAGTGGCATTTTGAATAAAATATATATATATATGTTGTTTTATTAAATGCCAGATCCCGGCTTTAATCCTAAACAATTTCGCAATATTCATTTAGTTTCATTATTGCGCAGTTATATCCACACAATATATCCTAACAAGTTGAAAGAGATGTTGGAAAATGTAGCCTACTTTTTTTTTTAATCCATCATCTCATATTATTTATTCGTTGTACAGACCATAAAACACTCCCCCCTGTTTATACTAGGGCCTTTATGAATCAGAGCTGCAGACCACAAAATGGCAGTAGTTGAATGTATTGCAGCTGTTACCACTTCTCACGTCCCATAACGCATATCTTTCCCAGCCCTTTAGTCCTTTTAAGCATTTTTCATGTTTAAGTATGCACTGTGATTTCTGTAGACCTCCTTTAAAAAGGATGTGATAATGTGGACAGTGCATAATGTGATGTAAGGCTACTGGTGGTGGGCCAATAAGATAACAGTGGAGCTTTACATAACAATTGTAGTCAAACATATTTTAAGAGTGTTAAAACAGAACTTCTGTTTTCATATTTGTTCCAGTGCTGACATAATAAAATGGCATCGAGTGTGTGTGCCTTGAAGACATTTCAGATTGAGAGTGACAGAAAGAGAAAGAGGCTCCATGCTGCTTTGTTAAACAGCACCAGTGAAAGGCCAGTTTCACACTGTAAAAAATGCTCTGTGTCATTTCCCTGTCAGCCCTTATCTTTATTAGCATTCACAATGTCTCCATCAGTTTACACTAGTTGTGCCTTTCCACTTTCATGGCTGAGAGTGGCCGCTCTGTGTTTACAGGCCCACATGCCCTGTGTGCAACCCTGAGGGGGAAAAGGGACAGAGCAACAGGTTTGACACTGACTAGTTGTTCCTAATTTCTTCAGATAGAGTGGCATTAATTGCATTTAAGAAGACTGATGAGAAGTTGTGTGAGAGTAAAAGTAAAATGATAGCCAGAATCTGAAATATGACAGTGTGAAGTGTTTACATGCCTTGAAATGTAGGGCCAAAAAAATAACACATTTTAGTTTTTCAAGCAAAAATAACTCAGCAGTTTGGAGGCAGTCGTAAAGCCCGGCGGGGCAGCAGAGGGATGAGACACAGACACAGATGTTGGGTTATGAAGCAGTGTGAGAGACAATCTGCAGTGCTCCTATAGGTGTGTGAGACAGGAAGAATCTTATGAGTGTCAACCATGATGAGAAGGATACATACTAACCTACCTCATTTTAAGGTACTATTTATTTTCATTGGTTTTGGTCCTTTCCTGTTCGAACTAATTTAGCCCATTTAGTTTGAAACTGCTTTAAATTTGGGTTTCACGACAGTACTTCTCATACCAAACCACACTCTCAATGGCATTTATACATTATTATTACAGTATGGTCAGTCTGATATGCTGCTGGATTATCTAGATACTGGAAAGTATGCTCCAGTACAATGTGTGCGGGATATCGTGACCTTTTTCCAGGTGCAGATTAGTTATGTGAAATGCTGAAACTGATGTGTAAAGTTTGCCCCATTGCAATAAAGGCCGTCCACAATGAAAACATGTTAGCCTTTTGACTTAAGCTGAATGACTAAAGACTATGTATTTATGCTTAAAAGGCAAATGGCTTGCAGACCCTCAAATGGAAATAGTCTTAGTGGCGATTTTGAATTGTAAAGCTTATATAATTTGGTAGTTTTTTTTGTATTGCGTATATTTATTATTTACTGTTTCTATAAAAGTTGAAATGAAAGACTGTCCATATTGAATCTAACTATTTAAATTGTCATGAGAGTGGTTAAAAAAACTGTGTACAGAGCAATATTTCAAAAACGCTTCAATTGTGTTAGCTGAACATGTTGGCTTAATATGGCGGTTTCCCTTTATGGAAGTGGTATTTTTTCAACCTTGTGAGTGTGTTTGCGTTTATATGTCTGTGTAGGTGTGCATTGAGATCAAAATAAAGGTATAAAGTTAAAAGGTGGGTCTGAGCAAGGTCAGCATGTCAGTCTGCTCCATCTTTCACCAGTAGTTTTCCATTCACCTGTTAACCACAACCCACGTTTTGCTCACTCTCTTTCATCTTCTGCACCCATTAGCTTCACTGCCATATGTAAACCCTCACCAGACACACACCCGTTGCCAGATCGTACTTTGCCTTATGCTTGTCTTTCACGCGTTTGTTACCAGATTGCCTACCCGGTTCCGACCCTGCCTGTCCCCGACCTGCCTGCTCTGCCTGATCCCTGATCCTGCCTGTCCTTGGACTATCCTGCCTTGCCTGCTGTCTGACCCTGCCTGTACCTACGCTGACCGCCTCGCCTGCTCCCTGACCCTCTGCCCGGCCCTGACTCACCTTCTGCCCGCTGTCCTCCGGTTCGTTTGCCTGTACATCATCCGGTATTCCTCTGCTCTGGTATTATTACCAATAAAGTACATTACCAATACTCCATGGTTTCTCGAGTGCTGCATTTGGGTCCTTCATAAGATTGTGACACAGCAGAAGTAAGGGGGGGGCCGGGTTAAGAAGTTAGGAAGGGCCCCCAGACACACACGTTACGCCCCTGGTCCAATTTAGCGTCGGCTAGTGTGTTAAAAACAGAAATTAATTAAAAAGATTGGAGCTTTAAACATTGTGTCTTTTATTTTATTTTTGCTTTTTTCGATCTAGAAAGATTTTAAGGAGTCCTAAAATCACAAAAAAAAACACAAATACCCAAGTTAGTGAATCTTCCACCTTCAAGTGACTTTTCCTTACAAACAACAGCATCTGGTATCTGGAAACTTAGTCCATTAAACAGATGTCCTTATTTTTTTGCTGAATAGTGTACAATATTGTATTTCAAACGGCTGAGATGAGAAAAATTATTATTAATTGACATTTACAGTATTTTCCAATTCGTCAGGTTAGCTTAGCAGGGAAATTCTAATTACACCTTTCAACCAAAAACATATGCGGCTTGCGGTGGAAAATGGGATTTATTTAGTTTTTTGGGCTTTTTGCTTTTATTGAAAACTGAGAGACAGACAGGGCGCTGTAGTCCTATATGGAGAAGCTGCCCACTGCTCCTAAATATATGATTTGTCAAATGCACAGTGTACATTTCACTTTGTGTGTTCTGTGCTGTGTACGTGCGTGACGATAAAAAGAGGAGTCAAAATCCTCCTTTAAAAAAGTGAAAGGCTCAGCGCTCTACACGGTGAACTAGCAGAGAATCCGCTGGGAAATGGGATTTATATTAGAAAAACCTCAGCAGACATTTCCAGAGCAAGACATGTGATAGTATTACAGAAGACAGGGAGTCTATGCACTAAATTAAATATTTGATATTTCAATTAATTTAACAGTGTGGTGAAAAAGTGTGAGATGATGGCCAAACATCTGCTCCACTGCAACATCAACACTTCAATACTTCAGTTTACATTAAACAGAGGATATATTGTTACTCTCTTGCATACAAAAAAGAAAAAATTAAATATGTCTGGGAAAAGGCATATCATCACCGAGCAATAGGGAAATGTATTAACACAATGATGAATTAAGTTAAATGTTGATGAAAAATTTAGATTTTGAGCATTGTAACTACTGTATGAATTGTAATTATAATAATGCTAATAATATTTGTTGTCTAATTGCAATATGAGTGACTTTATAATAATAATAATAATAATAATAATAACAACCACATCAACAATATTTCTCATCATCATTAAAATAATAATATTTCCTATGATTGATCTAATTACAATATGAGTAATTTTTACAATTAATATAATAATGATATTACAAAAAACTACTTAGTAAAGTGTTCATAAATTATTTAAAAAAAGGTTGAGGTTGAGATCCAGAGAGTAAAATGGAACATGGAATATTAAATAACTAAAGAAATACATTTAATAAACCCTCCAAATAAAGATAAGATGGCCTTTTATTAATCCCTCGTGGGGAAATTGTTTCTCTGCATTTGACCCATCCTAGTGTTAGGAGCAGTGTGCTGCCATTTTGAACGGCACCCGGGGAGCAGTGTGGGGAACGGTGCCTTGCTCAGGGACACCTCGGTAGCACTTGCCTGGACTTGAACTGGTGACCTTCCAGTTGCCAAGCCAAGTCCCTATCGACTTCACCACCACCGCCCCAAATAAATGTTGTCACACAAGCAAGTCTACATCACACGAGGTTGATAGAATATTTGTTTGACTAAGGTATTATGTTATATTCAGCATTGTATTGACAGCTAATAGATGAATGTAAAACTTGGCAGCCTGCAGGTTTATATTTACAGTCTCGATACACGGCTAACAGCAACGTCAAATTCTTTGAGAAGGCCAGTGTAAAGACACAGAGTATATAACACATATACATTTTTTGTTTGAGCTGTATGTACTATGATAGTAATTCAAATATGTTTTAAATCCTGCAGAGATGCTGCAGGAAAAGCTTTCTGCTGTGACGGATGAATGTATGAGGGTGCAGACCGGTGGGGACAGGGACCCCCTTACAGACCAGTCCCGACTGGCCCTGTCCACAGCTCCCAGCATTCCCAGCTCCAGTGAGCCTGACCAGGTACGCAAGGAGACCCTCAAGTCCACACGGCAAAACAAACTGATGCATCTAATGGCTGCAGTTTGTACACTTATTGAAATAAAGATGAATAATTATCTATATTTAATTCAAATGGAATGACATGTCGATTTTTGATTGACTTGAAAAAAAAATCTAAATATTTTCCGAAGCGAGATTCAGATGAGAAATAAACAGCGGAAACATCTGTTTACACTAAAATGTTTTATAATATCAACAGTACATACAGCCAGATGTTCATTAAGTGTGAATCAATAAAGTGTATTAAAAAGATAGTGTATTTTTTATTTGATATGTTTGTTTGTTTGTATGCAGAACTTCTTAATGAAATTGTGTTTTTCTAGATGCCATATTTCTAATAGCCATGGGATGGTGTGTGTCAGTCTGTGTGTGTGTGTCAGTCTGTGTGTGTGTGTAGTGTGTGTGTGTGTGTGTGTGTGTGTGTGTGTGTGTGTGTGTGTGTGTGTGTGTGTGTGTGTGTGTGTGTGTGTGTGTGTGTGTGTGTGTGTGTGTGTGTGTGTGTGTGTTGTGTGTGTGTGTTGTGTGTGTGTGTGTGTGTTTGTGTGTGTGTGTGTGTGTGTGTTTAACAGTGATTTGTGTCTTCTTTCAGAACATTGAGAACATTAAGGTTGTTCTGCACGAGAGGGAGCTGTGGAAGAAGTTCCACGAGGCCGGCACGGAAATGATCATTACTAAAGCAGGCAGGTTAGTAATGCAAACCATGTTTTGCATGTACTAGATGTGTGGACTTATGTGTATGCTTACTTCCATATAAGCATAGCTCATTTATATATTTTATTATTAGAAGTAAGCTTAGTAAATCATTTCTGGAACAAGTATTCAGATATTTTTACCTTAGTTAAAAGCTTGTTAGGAGTAAAAGTCCTGAATTTTAAATAAAACTGCAGAAGTATGAGGAATGTTTAATTCCTTCAACATTATGGTTAGTACATCATTAGGTATTTTACACACCATACCATTTTTTACAAGTAGCATTCCACCATTAACACTAGAGTTCAGTCATCATAAATAGTTCTAATTATTTTTAAACAAGCCATTGCCTAAACAAATATCTCTGAATTTGAACTAAGACATCTATAGAAACCTGTAAAAAGTTGCATATGTTATTATTCAAATTGCATATGAAATGATGCTCCTGTTTCTTTTACATTTGTGGAAAAATATGGAGATATTCAAGGGATGGATTTAGTACGTCAAATGAGTACCATGCCTTTCTGTAAGCATCTGTTTTAAAGAGCTAATAGTAACATATATCAGTTATAAGTTTGTCTTTCAGGAAGAGACAGAAAGTTCCTGCAGCTACATAATTGAAAACACAAATGACTGCTCGACTTGTTGGATTTAATGCGACCCGAGGATTAGATAGTGAGGCCTTTGGACATTTACCAGAGAATGAGTACACTCAGAGCGACCTCCACCTATCATTCCTCATGGGATGTTTTTTTTTTCTAGTACAAAATGTAAAAGGTCGCCACATTTTTTCCTTAATGCTGCATAACTGTAAGAGATGGGCTTTCCCTTGTCCAGCTGATAAAGTGGGCTCTGAATCCTTAAAGCCCTTTGAAGGGCGGTGCGCTAGTTTAGCTGTGCAGCTGCTCTGGGAAAACCTGTCTGGGTTTACCTACTGTCAGTCTGCTGTAGACATGCTGAAGGTCACACTGACTTGGCTTCAACCTCCTAAAGCAACTTCTTGGATAATGAACCCACACCAGACTGAAATATAAAAGCAAGTTTTCCATTGTGCACCTAGAACCTTTATGGTCATGTTTGAATCTGGATGTTGTACAAAAGTAAAATACTGACATGTGGGAAGAACATAAGGTCAATCACAGCATTGTGTACGTTTTCAGTAATGTGAGAGTCATTTCCAGTGCTTCTTGAACGAATATTCTAATTATGAAGACAATAAATTATGACACATTAATAACGGAAACCATGTCAAGATTATCCTTAATTGTTTTCAGTTGTAGTGAAGTAATCGTCAATTGCTTCTGAGAGTCTCATCTGCACTGGATTGTTAAAATCTGTCAAATATGGCATCAACAAGTGACAATGTCTCTCAGTGTCTATCAGAGTCAGAAGTTAAATCATGAAGCAGAAGCCACATTTGGAATAAAATATTTGATTAGTTCTCTTTAACCGATCCTAGTATTAGGAGTAAAAGTACACTCCATACTTGGTCCGATCGGCACTTGAACTGGCAACTATTCGGTTCCCAAGCCAAGTCCCTACAGACTGGCTGATTAAAGTAACAATGGCAATACATGACTAGGAACAATATAAAGTTATGAACCGCTTAACAATGGAGGTAAATATGTAGGAAAATAAGAGTCAGCTAGGCAATTTAAGGGGGTGTCTTTATAACTATTTTGACATCTAATCAATAATAGTTATAAGCCAAATCAAATCTATAAAACAACAACAATCTATTCCAGCCCCATGTTGATTTCAAGGAAATTGTATTTACCCTAGAAATCAGCCCTGGGGAATGCCACACAAACAAGAGAACTCTTCAGACCAAGTCATTTTACAAAACAAAACACTTCATACTAGTTTTAGATAAAGGTGCAGAGAATTACATCACTGAAAAGTTAGGGAATATTGAGGTCAACTGTTGCCATTTGTATATGGCTTTAGGTTAGATTGTCATGTCCGATGAGGGACTTTTTTCCACCAACACATTAAGAGCAGCCTCTAGTCTGATGTGGGACTTTTCTGCGTGCTGGCAGAAAGGATGATTGGTATAAAGGAACTGTGTCAAGAAATGTGTATTTATGTAACAGTATTTAAAACACTTCATACTAAGCATTAATGTAATGTATCAGCAAGCAAGTGTAAGTCAGATGTTAAAACGTTTTCTGACAACAGCGCAATCATTTCTTGGAACATATAAATCTTTCAACATGTCCCAAATAAAGCTACATAATTGAAGAGACAGGCGTCAACTTTCATAGGTTGGGCGATTTAAAGTTACTTGTCAGCAGGGTGAGGGGCCTTTATCTTACATTTCTTTGCAGGGTTACCATGCATCCCACTGCTTAGATTTACGTCCTTTTGTCTTACATCACATCCCACAATATTCTACATTTTGTTATGGTTATTTTAAAACAGCCTTCAATGAAAACAATGCCCATGACAAATTGCAGCTCAGAGCCAACAAGCAACAGCCCAAAAGTATGGGTAAAACAGAGAACATGTTTTAAATTGTTATAATCTCTGGGGTACTGGTCTTGTAGATTCCCCTGTACACCTGTGGCTAGCAATGACTATGTGTTACATTCACTTCTTAGTAAATTACAATGAGACCCAGATTGTAAAAACAACCAAGAAAGGGAGAAGTTCATACAGTACAGGATATTTTTGAAAGAGTCAGTCTTTTTTAAAGAGTCAGTCTTCAACATAGGATGCTAAAAAATAGCTTATTTGAAGAATTATGGACACAGATACATAACACATTAACACAAGATTGCTTTGGAACTCAAAATATTAACTGTACCGCTATTAGTCTATCTATCACATGATTAGTAACAATACGTGTTTTTTAAATGCAATTCCTGAAAGGTTAAACAACATTCTGAGCATTAAGCAAACAACATTTAAATAAATTAAGTTATTTTGAAATTATATCTACCTGAGCAGAGAATACAGTCACTCTCCCTCTGTGTTATAACCCAAGTTTCCCTGTGCTTTGTTACATAGGTGACCCATGCATTTAGTGCATGATAATCCCTGTGTGGCTAGCTAATGGCCGCTGTCTGCAATGCACTCATACTGCAGCTATCGTTGTTTGCACTGTTAGCTGCTAGCTACCTAACAATGTTGGGCACAACAGAGACTCTCAATCATAGAAATGCAAAGTATTCTGTAAAGAAAACCTTTAACGCTCATATTGATATAGTATTTGTAGTAGTAGTAGGATTCCTGAATTTGCTTTTGGTTGTATTGTGCCCACCCAAGATGTTCAGTTGCCCGCTCTAGCCACACCTATAAACGTTTCTGGAGGTTCAACTGAGTGTGTGGTCCATGCAATGTGGATCTGAAGGGTGTTGAGCTTTAAGTCTGAGTGAAGGTTGAATGCACTTTTCAAAGTCAAGTCAAAATGTTAAAGGTGGGGTAGGTAAGTTTGAGAAACCGGCTTGAGATACACTTTTTGTTATATTCCATGGAATGCTCTTAACATCCCGATAGCAATGAATATCTGAAGTGCTTTGACAAAAATCTGTGGAAGCCGTGGCGCTGTAAAAAGCACGACCAATCATTTTAGCCGGCCTGGCTAAAATAACTGGATGGCCTACCTGCCTGTCAGCCTTCCATCTGTGCACACATTTATCTCGTGCCCTCATTGGTCATGTGCGCGTTCGTGTGTGTTGGAGGAGGGGCTCTGTGAGGAAGTGGCAGATTTTTTCCGGTTGTGTATTTTCAAATTCTAGCGCACTCGAGCTGGTTTCTCCAAAATTACCTACCCTACCTTTAAGTGTTAGGGGTATCATTCCAAACACTATATGATAAATTGACTGTCAGATTCAACTGCTAAGAGTCATGATTCCTTTGTTTTCATCACATTTTTTAGCCATGTCTGAAAACAGCTTCTAATATGGATGAAGTCAAAATGGATGAAGCTAATAACTCATCAATTAAAGAGGATTCTACCTTATCATAAACCTAATATATATATATAAATCACCATATTAAAACCATGTTAAATATGTGTTTATGAGAAAGATATAATTCTTGAAATATTATCCACGCTTGCCTGTTGTTATAGTTACACAACACTTTTTCATGCTTGTGAGTTTCCCACGAGCAGAGTGGCCAGAAGTAGCAGGCTTTAGAACAAGAAATGGAAATATTTGCATAAAAAATCATCCACAAATGTAAAAGTATATATGTGATCAATATTATGAAACAATGTAAAACACTGGGCACTGTATGTGCAAAAATGAATCAAAATGTAAAATACTCAATCTGCTTTATCAAAATATTTGGGAAACGGGGAAAAGTGAATCTTAGTAATGGGGTGTGCTGGTTTGAAAAAGGGTTTGAGACCCATAGTTGTAACGTGTAAGGGTCAGTGCAGAGGAGGAGTTACAGATGCAGAGCAGCTAGCTACATTTTCCCAACACTCTGGGATGAAATTTGCCCTGTCGTCTTCCATGCAGCACCTACAGAGACCAGTAGACTTGTTATTGTGAGTGTCATTGTGCAGGCGTAATCCTCCCTCTTCAAAGCACCCAGTGCAGCTCTTCCCTCACTCTCCCTTTTTGTACACAGCCCGTCAAGAAAGCAGCGGCTGGTTGATAAGAGGAATCCGGCGCCCACAATAGGCCGAGTCTACTAGGTTGTAGCGCTTCATCATCCCCCCCAACACTCCTTTTGATCTTGCCGTGGTACTGGAGATTCCCAGAGAGGGAATGGATCACTGGAGGGCCTAAACATGTGGGATTGTTAAGAGAAACAGCTGGCTGGGCACAGAAACACACACACACACCCTGACACTGATATCATACACACACTCTCCAACTTCCATTTCTCATGCTCCTCTTAAACGCACTCACTTAGTCACACCACCGTATGTATATGTATGCCTTCATGATGTCTGCCTTTGGAAATCAGTTGTCTAGATTCCCAATACCTAAGATTTTTTGTTGATGTAGCACATATGCAATTCCAGAATAAAGTATGTATGATGTATTCTAATATATTGTAGAATTCAAAAATAAATGTTTCATCTCGTTAATTCAAATTGCAACATTGGCCTAATTTGACCAGAGATGTTAAAGACATAGCTCTCGTATTGTAAATGTTATAGCAAATATGCAACATGTTTGACTATCATCAACAGTGTTTCATCAACATTTTTTTTAAAGAAAACATAATTTTACAACATGGTATACGCATTCCAATCAATGAAAATTAGATTCATGTTATGGATTATTCTTTTTAAAGTAACAGTACTATTATTTAATCAAAGCTTTTAACAATAAATGGTTGAGATGTATTGGTTCCAATACAAATCAAAGTTCAACTGGGTTATTTAAACTCGTCATACACTTGGTTAAGTAAGCCTAAGTAACTAAGAGCGTGTTGGATCACTTAACTGTGTCTGCAACCCGCTCTCTGACCCACCTTTTTTGTAACTTCCTGAATCATAATCCCAAAACCCTCCCCCTGTACTCTGCAAATAGCCTGGTGTGCAGAGTTGTAAAAGTAAGCATGTAATAATTTATTGCCTCTCCCACTAACTATGAGTTCAAGTGTTGCTGTTCTGAAAAGGTAAAATCACTTTGGCCGAAGACGTGGTTAACTGACATGTAGTACGACCTAGTTTGTTTCTAGCCCAAAGAACAAAGAAACCTTTTTATTCAACGTTTATTTGTGTTTAAGATTGTGTTGCATTCAGTTCCTCTGTCTGGCTCAACAGCCAGTCGAGTGAGCGGCAAAGCCTTTTACTAGGTAGTCATGGCCATATTACACAAAGCCAATGGCCACATGTGTTGACACAGGCCTTCATCTGCTCTGTCTGTAGGGTGTATGCGGAGCCAGAGATGAGAAGAGGTCTGTTTTGAATGTTCCTCTAAGATAAATCCGTCTTTCAGTGAGGATGATACCGGGACTGATCTCTCTTACTGATTGGATTTGAGGCCAGGGAGAGAGATTTAAATTACCTTGCCTCAATCCCCCCTCCTCCCTCTCTATCTTTTACGCGACGGAGTATTTACAGTAACATGATCAGATGGTGTTAGGCACTATGAGCCTTCGAAGGGCATTTGCACCAATCGGAACAGTTAATATGTAGACTGGGGTTTTGAGGCCACGCCATTTTCCAAGAAAGCATGCAAGGCTTTCTAGAGTGTCCTCCAATGTTTGAACACGTTGCCATGGGTAGCATTCTCAGATAAACTGCAGGCCTTTTTTAACCGTACCCTCTTAAGCAATGAGGAGTCGGCTATCTAAACTGTTGTCCGATCTCGGGTGCCATTAAAAACCACTTAGGGCTTTATAAGGGGTGCAGAGCCCTTTGCGAAATATCCTTTAGGGCAGATGGGATGAAAACGTTTTTGGTTTCCCAGAAGAGGTCAGGAAAGGTAGCTCCCTTCATGTGTTTTATGGCTTTGAGTGCTATATTAACATATTCTTTATTTTAGTCTGGAGGCATTTAAAAGATGAAAGATACAGCGTGTTCCCATACTTTGTATGGCCTCTCAGTATCACAAGTATGAGAGGATTTCAATCTCCTCGTATATAAATGCCTGCAAGGAGACAAATCACTACAAGGCCAGATATTTTGACACCAAGGACAACATCAAGAAACATGATGATGGAATTTTTAGCAAGTTGGGTTAATTCTATAATGTGCTTATGAAGGGTTATTTGTATACAAGTAGGTTTCGTCCACTGTTAAGGTCAAGATGATTTCAGGCTAAAGAGAAAGCAGTGCCTCACTCATCACACTGTGACACAATATCTATGATTCTTTCCTGGTCCCAATCCCTTAGTAACATCACTGAGCTACAGTGAGCTAATGGGATCTTCACCTGCACTATCAGTGACAAAACTACACTTATCCTTCATGCATAATTGTGTTTATGGGCACATTGGATCCTCCCTTTAAAACACGATGAATGCAGTATGTTAAAAAATACAGACCTTTGGGTTTCAAAGTCCCTGAAGTTGGTTGCCTGCGCAAATGCAGTTTTTTTTCTAAATCCTTCTGAAAGGTTCCAACCACAATAATAGCTATTAAGAAATGTGTGTGGTGCTAAACATTTTTGAATCCGATCCTATTTGTTACTCAATTATTAAATCAATTACTGCCTCGCTTTTACGTAGAAGCCATACATTAACACATTTCCTTCATATTTTTCAACAGGAGGATGTTTCCCAGCTACAAGGTTAAAGTGTCTGGGATGAACCCCAAAACGAAATACATCCTACTTATTGACATTGTTCCAGCTGATGACCATCGCTACAAGTTCTGTGATAACAAGTGGTAAGTTTGCAATTGCTAAGCCATACATGACCTTTGTTGAAGGTTGCCTCATGGCCTTCTTTTAAAGCCTTAGTTGTCCTGCAAACCAGTAGATTAGCTTATGTTAGACATCGCTGTGTATCTGGCATTAAGAAGTGTGCTGACTTTACTTCTCTAGACCATGTTTCAGCATGTCCAATTTAACATTTCATTGGGTTTATTTAATTGATCTATGTCTTTTAAGCAACTGACACTAGACATTTAAAATTGGCTTCTGTCCTGTTAGGGTTGAATCATTATACCTTAGCAATGGAGGACTAAGAGCTAGAGCAGGGGAGTCCAAAGTTGTTTTTTTCACCGAGGGCCACATACAGAAAAATAATCGAAGAGCTGGGCCGCTCACTAGAGATGAGGTATACTGCCTCATAAGTTAAGTTATAAGTCAGCTAAATCAATCAAAAGTAGGTAAATTATGCTTGATACTTGAATCTGCTTTAAGAAAAATAAACAGCCTACATCCCAGCTCTAGAGAGTTTCATTGAATTAGTTAGCAGCTCATCCCTTACAACAGGAGCCCCAGATTGATTATCATGAGAGGAAATAGGAAGGGTATATTTCACGTTTGTTATGTATATAAGTTATTGGGCTTTTTTCTCATCGACTTTGATTTGTTAGAACATCATTTCAAATGTAATTGAATTTATTGTAAATTGGTCTTATTAACACATGAACACTACTGTGTAATATATGTTTACAGATATATTTAATAAGTACAATACTAGAAAAGCTCAAGTTTCATTTGTGGGCCGTATTCTATTGTACTTTTTTTATTTGCTGAGGGCCGATTCAAAATGTCCCGTGGGCCGCATTTGGCCCCTGGGCCGTAGTTTGGACACCCCTGGGCTAGAGTAATACCAGTCCCATGTTGCTTCCCAAGTCCTTATTGCCAGGCAAGAACATCATGCAAATTATGAATATTCTTCAAACCACAGAATTAATAAAAAAGTATATATTTTTGTGTGTAACAAGTAACATGTAATGTGTGTACAATGCAAGAATACAAATAAAATAAAAACACCTTTTCGTATGGTAACAACTTTATGATTAACATTAGTAATAGGTTGTGCTGATGGTTAGTAACACTGCTCAAGGCATTTTTTGACAAGGCATTGTGCATCAGTATGATAAATACAACAACAACTTTACATGTATTGTTTGAAAAACATTCTCACAGAAATGGATTGCGGTGTCAAACCATGACACTAACATTCTTCTCCCTCCCTGTCTCCATGAAAAGAAGGGAGTAAGATACATTATGTTTATTGCTGCTTTAATCATGCCTATATTAGGTAAATGATATCCTTTTATTAAAGAAGAACTTGGCTCCTCAAATAACCATCATTCCCAGTGTTTCCCCTACCATTGTCTTGGAGGGGCCCCGCGCGCCCCCTGAAATTCAAGGTGTTTAAAAAAAAAGATAATAATAAAAAAAAGTATGTATATATAGCACCAAATTGCAACTAATCTACTGTCACTTTTCACATTGAACATGTGCTCTTTTATTAAATAAACTAAACGCTTTAATTTTAAGTTGTGAGTTTAGTGTTTTTGACCCTAAGAAACACTGATGCATTAATCAATAACAATAGTCCACAGCTCTTCTCTCTGTAGAACCCCCCCCCCAAAGCAGTAAACCTAGGGGAAACACTGATTCCCTTTATTCACCAACGATGCAGAACATTTACTAGAATCTCTTGAAAACCACACATAATCACAAAAGAAAACAAATCAACTCGTCTGGAAAGGACAAAAAGGCATAGTGAACCTAGCCTTCCAATGTAATTCTTAAATGCAGTTAATTATTTCAATTGTGGTTTACAAACAAGAAACTAAGCCTTGGTTGGGGCTAGAGTTCCTTATTGCATTCAGGGTAGAGATAAGACATTGACAAAGAAAAAGAAGACTGAACTCAGTAATTTTGCAGTTGCACTTGTATATGGAGGCATTGCAATTGCTGTTCTTAATCCACCAGTTTGACATCAGAACTAGCAGTGCCGTTTGTCCATGGGTGGAAAAAAACAACAACGTTTTACCAAGAAAAGCTGAAAAGAACACAAAATAAATAATTTAACAGCCATTTGCTTCTGATCTTTTGGCATGGCCTGGCCATGGTGGGTTCTGGTGTTTCTCAGCGACACCTTGGAGAAGCATAATAAGTAATGATGACTTAACAGAGCCCCCTCCCCCCCCACCAGTCTAAGGGATTTAATACTGTGAGGGTTAAGATCAATGGTAATATACGCCTATATATTGCTCCATTATTGTAAATAAGATTTGGTTCATGTTAACCTCTTGACAATGGCTATAGAATACATTACATTAGTTTGTCTTTTACTTATCAAACTTTGCTTCTGCACGTCTCTCAATCTGTTTTTCAGGATGGTGGCTGGCAAGGCCGAACCAGCAATGCCAGGCAGACTCTATGTGCACCCTGATTCCCCCGCCACAGGAGCTCACTGGATGAGGCAATTGGTGTCATTTCAGAAGCTCAAGTTAACCAATAATCACCTAGATCCTTTTGGGCATGTGAGTACATGCAGAGATACTTTTCATAACTCAACACAATGGTTAATGTTATTAGAAAATGTATTGGATTATTGATCTTGATATTATTCTAACAGTGAATGATTACATTTTACTCAACAATTTGATTGCTAAGATACAGTATGAGAAAATGGAAACATTTCCTAACATAGCTTTAGAATGGTGTCGTCGCTTAGTAATTAGTGGTACATCATTTGGTTATATTGCAGACTTAAACCGTCTAACACATGCATCCTGAACACAATTTGTGGAAATGTCATGACTAGTGGGAACTGTCAGACCAAATTTAGGAAATATTGCAGTGAGTAGAAACCAACAGCCAATGTGAAAAATGTTGTTGATACATGTACAAAACAGCAAAAGGTGAAGGTATCTTTCACAGGAAGATTTTTTAAGAAAGCATAAAAGAAACTGAGGAGGCAGAGGCTGCAGAGGGAGGTGAAGAGTGTGACTGTGGCAGCGCTCCCCAGGGGGACTCGGGGTTAGCTTGTCTAAAGCCATCTCATCAATGGGCGGGCTCATTAGGTTCATAACCTCTCAGATCAGTGGTGGGGCCTGCTGTCAGATTGAGTTCAGTGCCTGGCCAGTGATAAGGGTGAGTAATGAGGACAAAGCAAGTTTGAGGCCAGGCAGAGCCCCGATGACGCCCAGACTTGGAGGTGTGTAGTAGGGCAGGGCTTCTCACAGTGGAGTGAAGGAACTCTTATTCAGTACTAATTATGCAATTTGCACTATGTGTACAAATTAATAATTCAATGGTGCTACTCACTCATCTCCTTCTCTAGGACTGCCATTTGAGTTAGACAATCACAATTGTAGAGTTCAGTGCAAATAAAAAATGTACCATATTGGTAATTTCTTACATAAATATTTTTAAAACGCACTTCTGTGCCCTGTCGAGTCTATTTTGGGGTCAATGCCATATACATAATTGAAAATCTCTGATCCGCACAATCTAGTGTCCTTTAGTAGAACACTAGGATCTGATGCTATATAAATCGTCTTTTATGGTCTATAATACAGGACTAGAGACTATTCCCAAGTTCCTTCATTCTTGCATCAAACTCCTCACCCATTATTTTCCTGTCTTGACAATGGACCTGCCCAGCATCAGCAATACAAATTATCTTTTGTTTTCTGTGATTTAGAATATTGATGTACTAGTTAGCCTGAAAATGTCAAGAGGAATCCAAGTCGTTTCAGACACTGGTGACTGGGTCGTACAATCAAAAAGAACAGAAAAGAGTCTTGTATGTCGACCATTAAACCTGTCCAAATGCAGAATAATCAAGTGCCTTGATTTATTCAGACTGTTATCAAAAGAATATATTGTAAAATACAGCAAATTATGTTAATTGCTGACAATCTAGTACCAATGCACCCTGTTAAAGTTGGGGTAGTGGTTCATATCAAAGACAGTCACTTTTTTAATAACCGTAACAAAATATTTTCTTGGCCGTTATATACTTTGATTATTTTTATATACATAAATAGATATTTGTGTTTATTATTGAGATAAGAAGGGGGAAATACATGGTGCAAAGGGCCACTTATCACATTTAAACCCCCAGTTTTAGTTGCATAACCCTAGCCTTACCTTTACTATTTATTAACCAAAACTTAACCAAAGTGTTGCCGAATCATCCAATATTGACATTCTTGTGTAGTTATATGGTTGGGTCATTACATGCTATGGTAAATTAATTCTTATCACAGTCCCTCAACAACTAATTGCAGGCACATATCAGTTAAAGCAAATAATTATGCCTGAATGTTTTTATAAGGGGTAGATGAAAGCAAATACCTTCCTTAGCCCTTCACGGTTCTGAGGAAGGCTACCCTGATCGTCCCTGTACATTCTGACAGTCACCCAAGAGTCTCCAGTATCACCCTCAAACAGCAGCCAGACAGCAGAGCAGACAAAGGTCAACAGAGAGCCTCCGGTGAATGAGCCAATAGCTTATCTGTGTGTCTCTAGCCTGCCTCAGCAGGCGGTGGTGGCGAAGTCCATAGGGACTTGGCTTGGCAACTGGAAGGTCACCAGTTCAAGTCCCGGAAAGACCAAGTGCTACCGAGGTGTCCCTGAGCAAGGCACTGTTTCCTACACTGCTCCCCGGGCGCCGTACATAATGGCAGCCCACTGCTCCTAACACTAGGATGGGTCAAATGCAGAGAAACCATTGTTACATAGTGCATGTACTACGTAATGACAATAAGTTGAATCTTCCTCAATCTTCTTCAACAGGAAGCATGTGAGCAAGGGTCCTTTCTTAATTCAACCTGAACCTAGACCCTCCATGCCTTTGTGTCTCTTTGAGAGCCCCCTAGAGTCTAAGTCTCCTTAGGAGAATGTCTGGCAAATGAGGAGGGGAACCGAAGTGCAGAGCTTGATGCTTATCACCACTGACAGAGCTGGACTAGTGATGACCCTGCCCTACTGTTGCTAACGCTTCGCTTGGCTCAGCACTCGGCTGCAGTGAACAGGCTGGTACTAGAGAGCTGACCTGCAGCAACCCAAACAACCTAACGAAGCACGCTCATCGAATGTTACCTGCTCTAATAATTCACAATAATATCAAATAAAGGCGTAAACACAATAATTACAAATATTTTGAACCTTCGGCATGATATTAGGAATGTCAAATGGGGGGTAAACATGGGTAATTTGGGAAGAGTGTTAAAAATAAAGTGTACCGCATAATAGTGGCTGTTCATAGACCGCTGCTTTCAGAAGTTAAAAATGAAATGTCTTATATTCTCTTCCTCTTCCTAGATCATCCTGAACTCTATGCACAAGTATCAGCCCAGACTACATATAGTTAAAGCCGATGAAAACAACGCCTTTGGATCCAAGAATACTGCCTACTGTACTCATGTCTTTCATGAGACAGCCTTCATCTCTGTAACCTCTTATCAAAACCATAAGGTACAGCAACTAAAACACTTCATAAAAAAGATAAATATAAAATTATGCATTATTCCTAGTTTTACACACTTAAAAGTAAAACTAGTTTGTGGTACCTGTTTTTATACAGGGGTTACACTCAAAACCTTTTTATATCTGAAGCTATATCATGTTTAACTAAAATGGAGATTTGAAAGTATAGTGAATGTTTTTAGGTGTAGATTGATCAATGATAACAGTTTGTATAGAGGTGCATTACTTTAACTATTAATATAAAAAATTGAATAAAATAATGTTTTTCTAGATCACTCAGCTTAAGATAGAAAACAATCCGTTTGCCAAAGGATTCCGGGGTTGTGAAGAAGGAGATCTGCGCGTCTCAAGACTACAAGGGTATGTTTACACAAAAAGGAACCAGTAAAGTAAAACTGATCCTGTAGGACCATTTAGCACACTGAAAGTCTCTCGTAAACATCAGCTGTTCAGAAGCCTTTGTGTATGGATATAAAAAACAAAGCTCGCCTCCTTGAAAGACTGTGTTGAGTGGTAATGCAAGCATGGTAGATTGATTACTTTTCTCCTCTGTTGCTGCTATGTATAGGAAAGAATATCCAGTGATTTCAAAGAACATAGTCCGACAGAGGCTCATCTCCTCGCATAGTCACCTAGCAGGAAAGCTTGGAGCAGGAGTTCTCACAGGGCACCCCCAAGTACTGTCTCCTTATCAGTATGAGACTGGGGTTCCTTTGTCTAACTCAGACCCCCAAGATCCTATCTCGAACCACTTTCCTCAGAGTAGAGATCCAAGCCTTCTGTATCACTGCTTCAAACACAGAGGTAAGTTCTTAGCCGCTTTGCTTTCAGCCATTGAACTGAATCAGATGTGCATATGAAGTACTTCCTGTTTTAAAAGAAACTATGCCATTAATCATATCCCTTTGCAGATAACGCCCGACACCTAGAGCTTGGATGTAAGCGGCCATATCTGGAGACATCATCTGCAGTTTCAGAGGAGCATTACTTTCGTTCAGCAACCTCTTATGAGTCGCCGTTACTGTCCCATCCTTACTGCACTGAGGCAATAACCTCTAGAGAAGCTTGTATGTACGGCAGTATGGAAACAGAGTCTGGATCTGGGGCAGGGGATACAGATGACCTGACTAACCCCTCTTCAATAAATTGCAACATGTGGGCGACAATGCAGCCCTACCCTCGCTATGGTGTGGAGGGTGTGCCATACCAACCCTTCACAGCTCACTTCACCAATACTGCCACAGTCACGCAGATTGTACCACAACCAACATCATCAATGGCATCTCGACCACCTTCTGACTTGGGGGTCTACAACTCGGCTACGGTCCAGCGAGGTTTGCCCGTTATACCTCCTTCATCCTCCTCTTCATCCTGCTCTCCAGCTGTTCTGGGATCCAGAGATAGGTCAGGGCATCCACCTTTGTACCACAAGAAGCCAGGGTCACCGCTCCGGCCTCACAGAGATTTCTCAGCCTATCCCACACAGGGTACAATATCAATCCGGGAACCATCCTATCAGTACCAAGTGGGGCTAAGTAGCGCAGGAACTCACTGGACTGACAGCTAACATGGACAACTGTAGAAACCATTTTTTATACATAAACATCTGAAATAATCTAGGTTCAAAATCCCACTTTAGGCTGCTGATGCCAATCAACAATAATGAACTACAGCCATAATCATTGCACTCCAAAACCATTCACATCCATTTGTTCTCACTGAAGCAAATTGACATACAACATTGTATGTGGTGTGGTGAACACTGGCTGACCTTGTTACTTATGCAGATGTCTAGCATATGAACATCACAAAGTCTATCAGAGGCAAAAGTAAGCTCAAGGGAACAAGACGTGTTGATGCGATCGCAGAGTCTGACAACATCCAAAAAGTGTTTGCTACCTAGCCTAAAGTAAAAGAGGATAGGTTTCCAGAAAATAAAAAAGATGAGGTACAATTGCTGTGCTTGCCCTTGAAGAGAAAGAGAGGTTTGTAAAATATGTGTACATGATGGTCTTTGAGTGAAAACTGAGCATTGAGGGTTCCATTACTTATTATAGAGCGCCACCTTGATAGAGCAAGATTGTAGTTATTCTAAATGTTTCTTATTGTGAACAAGTCCAATAAGAAGACATAAACCAACTACTTTGTTAGCCTACCCTGCCTGTATTACAAATATGCAAGCCGATTGCGGTGAAAATGTATATCTTTAAAAAAGTGGTCACAAATATACAGTAAGTACAGTCACAGCATTTTACCAAAACAGCTGGCAATTGTAGTTTTGTACAAAATCGAATTTGTTGAAAAATATTTTCATCTGTAATTTTAGTTGTTTCAGACCGTCAACTCAAGTCCACATACTTGTCTCCATGCAAAATAAATCTAACAAGCCCTCTAAGTCATTGTGGTGTACTTAACAGAGATTGGCTCAAAATAATTTACTGTGGCTTTGATTGTAGTACTAAGGAACACGTAAACGTATGCAACAGTGCAACGTTAAAGGTGGGGTAGGTAATTTTGGAGAAACCAGCTTCAGTGCGCTAGAATTTGAAAATACACAGCCTGAAAAAAATCTGCCACTTCCTTACAGAGCCCCTCCTCCAACACACACGAACGCGCACATGACCAATGAGGGCACGAGATAAGTTTGTGCACAGATGGAAGGCTGACAGGCAGGTAGGCCATCCAGTTATTTTAGCCAGGCCAGCTCAGATGATTGGTCGTGCTTTTTACACTACGGCTTCCATAGATGACATTTTTTAATGGATTTTTTGTCAAAGCACTTCAGATATTCATTGCTATCGGGATGTTAAGAGCATTCCATGGAATATAACAAAAAGTGTATCTCGAGCCGGTTTCTCAAACTTACCTACCCCACCTTTAAGCTACGTTTTTTCATGGGACTTAATACAAAAATAAACAAAGCCCACAACTTTGAGAAGGGCCTGGGGTTTAGTTTCAAAAAGGTTTTAGAGATTTCAAAAGTTATCACAGCCAACATATCTTGAATCCTAATTATTTATCTGTGCCTACTGAGATTTGCTACAGTGTAATGTATAGGGTAAAAGTGCATTGAGTTCACTGCAAAGTGAGATTGATCATATCAGATAATCATATCCACAAATATATTAAACTAGCAAACTATTTATGACAGTTTATTTCCCACAATGTACATACAGATTATTTAAATGAAGGAATATGTGCGCCAAAAATCATCAATTAAAAAGTTGTTAGTGAATGGGTCTTATTCAAATGTTGTATTGTTGCATACTAGCACTCAGAAGAAATGTTGTGAGTCAAGACTAAGCAATACTACTGTGGTTGTTCGTCAAAGCTTGGCTCAAAACACTATAATAGTGAAACGGGACAGCAACCAGATGCGGGCTTAAGGAAAAAAAATGTTAAGCAATGGTGAGTACTGGAAAAGAGAGCTGCACACAAATCCCACTCCCAAATGATTTACTTGGAAAAAATCCTTGCAAGACTACAAATAGAAAACAGGATAAGCATGCAGAACGCTGAAAGAAAAAAGGCTCTTTGTAGCATTGCATCCAAGGGAGTTTAAACTTGCAATGACAAGGAAAGATTGTCTGTACGGTATGAAGATGATCCTTCATGCATTAGTGCATTGTCCCTAGATTTTAAGTGTTGTAAAATTTGATATTGCATTTTTAAATATATGGACATTTTTGCACTCCTGATGAATAAACATTTTCTTGCTTCTAATTGTTGCTTTATTTAATTAAAGATCAACATTGTTCTTCTAAAAAGTTTAACCCCACTTTATGTAGAGATTACCATTTTCGCTCTTTTTTGTTATGGATAATATTGACATTTTTGCTTTTACATTGCTTTTATGGATTTACAAGAAGATTTCACAAAAAAAGTTTGTCTTGCTCAATTACATAACTTACAAAACACAAGAGTTAAAAAAATATATAATAGTAAAGATGTTTTACTAAAAATAAATACAATAGTCAAAATGTTTGATACCAGATAGCCAGTTATCCAAGTGTTCCGTCGACAAAAAACTGTTTGTATATTACGAAATTACAAACAACTTTATTTGGAACTTTTTAGGATACAGTATAGGTTTGCCTGCAGTCATAAGCTGAGCATTTTTGCATCCTTCTCTTCTTAATAAATGTATTAATGCTTAATGTGTTTTACGTTGACAAAGTTGCCCCTAAATTTGCACGTGTCTTTAAAAATGTATGTTTTTCAGAAGCCATGTTCCAGTAAACTATTTCAAGTTCTCCATGACTGAACTAGTTTTACTGTTCAAAACACAATTTATAATATATAAAGACCATATGGTGTTGTCCAATATAATTAAAAAGATGCACTTACAGTATCTACTTGAGTTACAATCAGTAAATGTTGAATAGGAATCAAAAGTCAAGGTAAAGCAGATTTGTTAAAAGTATGTAGACAGCAGGGTGAGTACATCAGGATATAGGGCACTGCTTTCTCTCACATATTGCTCTCATTTGATCATGAGTTATGCTGATGGCTAGGTTCTGGTTCATGTCTGCACCTCATTTTCTATCTCTTTCTCAGCTGATGATGCATTTCACATGAAGGGAGGCTCTTCACAGAGGGCTACCATTCAAATCAACAAATGATCAGCCAGCTATCTTGAAATACTGAAATATAACTTGCCTGATGACAATGTTCAGACATTAATTTAACTGTCAGAGTACAGAGTACAGTTGCTGTCATTAGGGTGATTTGCTTAGGGCCATACAAGTCTTTTTGCTAATTGTATTTGTAAAGTATTGTTTTTTCTTACCGTTTCCAATCATTTTAATATGCATACGAAAATTAATTGGCAGACTTTTGAAACTTGTTTGAGTTCCCTTTCAGTGAACATCAACATTGTTGGTTGAATTTCAAGATAGAGAGGGATAGAATAAAGTGCAATTCAATGGTAGCCTGAAATGATGACTTTATCCAAGAACTCTTAAACAAGTCAGCTGATGATTTGCAGTAAATAGGATCAAACATGCAAAACCACTAGTATGGAAACACAGTGTCCTTGGAATGATGTTCATATACTACTAACATGTCTGAGGGAAATATAATTGCTGCTGGATTATATTCACTCGCAATGTTTATTCCAGGGAAGGAACTGCAACGTTCTTGAACAACACACAAGACTCATGGAGATGGTCAGAGTGTTAGGGTAGGGCAGCTTTTCTCAAAGCGTGGGAATGTGATATGAACGCGAATACATTTTTTGGACCTCTGGCCGGAATCAAACCTGGGTCCTCGCGGGCGGTAGTGGACTGTTACAGCCGGAGACTCGCAACGGTGGTGGACTTTCACAGTAACGTTTGTGTCCCCCCACTTTACAAATAATGTTTATTATTATTTTTTAACGCACGCCGTCATCGCCACGGAGGAGCACACAGCCTCTGTGAGTGAGCGAGACAGAGCGAGAGAGAGCACACCTTTATCTATTTAATATAGCCTAGTTGTAAAAAATAAAGTAAGAAATCATTCCAATGTGTACTACTGTATAGGACAGTATTAAAAACAAAAAAAACAGTTTAAAAGGGGAGTGATTAGTAAAATATGCACACGTAAAAAGAAAGAATGCTAACTACTGTAGGTAACATAAGATAAGAATAAACCAGTTTAAAGGATTTGTTATTGGTTGTGATCATATTCTAAAGATGTTTGGATTATTGAAAAGTATACAGCTCTCTTTTATATGAATGTTGAGAGCTGTATCCATAAATTCCTTTTGTGCTCAAAGTGCACCAGATTGATGCATTTAACTTCAACATTTAAAAAAAAAAAAATCTTCCCGGGGGAGCATGCCCCCGTATCCCCCTAGACTCGAGGATGTGAGGTCCATTTTGAGGCCAAAATAAAGCATGTTAAAATAATCAAATTGCATAAATGTTCTTTGAGTAAACACTGAAAACTGGTCCCACAGACCAAACAGCACACGAAGGTTAAAGGTAAGCATATAATAATGTTAAAATGTGCTAAATATATACACTGCAAAAAAACTAAAAAAGAGGAGTAAAAGTAGCTCACGACTTGTTTTTTTGAAAGTAGCTCTCATCTTATAAAAGGTTGGAGACCCCTGTTATAGAACGATACATTTGACCATTTTAAACTTGGCCTACCATTTTATTGGAGCGATGAGGAACAGGTGGGGCTTGAAAAGGCCCACCTGTTCAAAGTGGGGATGACAGAAAAAGTTTGAGAACCACTGGGGTAGGGTAAGCATCAAAAAGTGCTTTGGATAAGGAAAGATTTTAGTTTGGTCAAATGTTAGGAAAGAATAACCCATCACCATCCTCATCATCATCATCATCATCATCATCATGTATTTTGCTTGAAAAAAAAACTGCATTTGCTATTGCAAATTAGTGGACTATAAACACAAATTCAAAAAAGAAAGGATTGAGTATGGTTTGAATACAGCATTCTGTGATGGCCACTTGGCATTGGCAATGTCTCTACATTTAAATAATATAACATTGTGTAGTGCACATAATTGTTAAATAATGTAAAGGGTACCATAACATTGTTTCACGAGATGCTATTTATTTGAACATTAATACTGACAAGGCAACAGTGCACAGATTTACACAGATCATTTTCTTAATTAGGCGGTAACCCAATCATTTCACCAGAAAACTAAAATGTATACACAATTCTACCACCATTACTGATCTCTTCATTCTGGACTGTTGAATCTTCAGCTTTGAATATGGATGAGAGAGCAGAACTGGACCGCTGCTGGCGCCAACCATATCTGTAAATAACACAAAACAAAGTTTGATACTTTCCGCAAAAGTATAATGTGTTGATATAGGTATTCAAATATATCTAACTATTACTTTAAATGCAATGTTCTTGGGTCATTTTGAAATGCTGTACCCTTAGCAAGGTTACAATAAGTTACTCTTGACATTAAAAAGAAAGGTAACATAAGTTTACACCAAAGGTCCCTGTGTTCTGTTTAATAGTCCAAGTTTTTTAGTCAAGCCTTAATGGCGCATTAAAGGGCCAGGCAGGCATATTGAAATGTATGCTATCTTACTTTTCACATAAAACTGAAGTCAATCTCATTATAAAGAAGCCAACTTTAAGCCCCTTATGGAGCACAAGTTAACCAAGCTGAGTATGTATCTGCAGTGAGAGAACCTCGGTCTACAGACCATCTGGAAGTCGTTGAGTGGAGATCTGGCCATTCCCTTCTCCCCTGCGTCGCATTGCCCTTCCCTACTGTCGTCCCATAATCCCGTCTAACAGCCGCCTGGGCTTGGCTGGCCCATTCCGACACACTGACTGGCTTAACTTGGCCTTCTTGTAAAAAAGAGAACGCCTGGTTTTTCGACAAGGCACTCCAAAAATACACTTTAAATATCTGAGGGGGATTTAATATCAAGTCCATTAGGGATTTTCTCAAGCCCTGTAAATGGTCAATTAGTGCATAATTCTGATTTGATCCACATGCAGAGAGATCTGCAATGGAA